AGTGAAGTGCAGGGTCTTCTCCCCAGGCCCTCAGCAAGTGAAATGCCCTTACGCATCAGAGTGGTTGAATATGGCTTCTTCACTGGTTCACTCTCTGCAGCTTTCTCCCAGGAGTATTTCAGGGCTACCACCCCTGTGTTGTGCATGGTGAAACTGAAAAGCAAGTAGGAGGAATTAGAAAAAACAGAAAGCCCATTAAGTATAAAGCAAACAGTACAGTAATATTGTCTGATGGACTCCTGGTACCACTTTCTCCTGAGAAGCATCTTCTTCAGGCAACCCTGCCATGCTCAGACTGCTGTCCTGGGTGGCCCAAGAAAGTATTTCAAAGTCTGGAAGTTTAGAGGAAAGGGCCAACATGGAGTTCAGCACATTGAAGCTAAGGGCCTTACTCTGGCCTTTAGGTCTTGGTTTGACTGCAAACTTATTCTTGAGCAGAGGAGGACAGGTGATCTGCAGTTAAAGCAAAGCCATGGCTGTTCTCAGCAGAAACCTATGGCAGCATTGAGCCTCTCCTGACAACCATCTCCTGCTTGGCTTCGCATACACGTAAAGGGGCCGGTGCTGGTTTTTGTGGGACTCCTTAAAATCAGAGGGTTTTGGGAAAGCTACAAAAGGCAAGCCTCAGAGACAGCAGAACCATGATTAGAGCTAAGCAGTAAGATTTGTCAGCAGAAAAATGATGTAAGAAGTAGAAAGTAAGTAAAGACAAATAGAACAATGGTCTGTGTCTTAATGCTTCTCTAGAATAACTCCCTAAGCTGCTGAAAAGTATATCTAGCAAGTTATTGGAAGTTCTAAGCTTAATACTGGAGCTCTGTGCATTGTGTTTTAAGGCTTACAAGCAGGTATTGTGTAGTTATGATATTTTATGAAAAATCCTTTGCTAGGATTTTTCCCGTCCTGAGGAGCTGAGAGCCTCAGGAAAGAAATGTAAACAATAATTATCTGTTGCTGTGGAATGCAACAGGTGCATCTTTTATTGGTCTATGTAGATTGTTTTCAATTGATGACCAATCACAGCCGCCTGTGTCAAGGCTGTGAGCAGTCACAGGATTTTTGTTATGTATTCTATTCCAGTCTTGCTCTTTGTAGCCTTCTGATTATTTTTTCTCTCTATTCTTTTAGCATAGTTTTAATGTAGTATTTTAATATAATCTATAACATAATAAATCAACCTTCTAAGAAAAATGGAGTCAAGCCTCCTGTCCCCACACTTAAAACATTCACCACAATGTTTTGTATTGACAGTATTGTATTCAAAATAAGCAAGCATTGTTTTAACTGAAGGTACATGTGCTTACAGCAGTTGGATGGAACTACTGTCAATATGCTTTTGCTTTGTGTGATTGGTCAAAAAACTTTTAAAGTAAGTTGTAACATTAAGTTCTTTATCTACTGCTGGGGATGGGAGTTGCTGGCATCTTCCCTTTGTCATAACCGTGTAATGAGGCTGATGCTGGAAAATAAAACGGCTAAAGACATATTCCCCAGCAGTCCCGTCCCTCCCTGATTTGTACATAGCCCCCGGCAGTTTTGGCTGGGGTGGAGTTCTGGGAAGCAGGCACTGCAGCAGCCCTGGGCAAAGGCAGCTCCTGCTCACAGGAGGAGCTGTGCCTGGCCTCCAGCACTCACGTGGCTGTCCTTGTCTCAGAGGGCAAGGTGTTGTTGAACTGAACCATGATCGTGTCCAGGTGGAACTGGGCGTAGGCAACAATGGCACTGAGGTACACCTCGACCTCCTGCCTGCTCTTCTCCACCACAGTGTGAGCTGGTTCTGGGGCTGTCTTGACCACCTGCAAACACAGGAGGGAGGAATCACTGAGCAGAGCCCAGAAAGTCAGGCTGAGAAGGGCAGTCTTCTGGCCTCCAAGATCAGCCTCATAGAGACACTAGAAAGGACCATTCACTTTTACTTCCCTGGAAAGATGACCAAACTGGGACTCTTCTGCTGCAGTAGTTGTTTCTAGCCACTGATCCAAGCAGTCACTACCACAGCTGTTAATATCCCCATGAGACTATAGCTTCATTCCAGTCCCTTTACTTCAGCCTTGCAGAGTGACTGGCTTTTTTCCTGGTCCCCTATAAATCCAGCAGGTCTCAAAATTAGGGCTCCCCTGCCGGAGCTCTGTGGATGGAGGACCCCAAGACTGAAGAGTTCCAGGAAGCATCTTTTTGTTCTTGTCTTAGGAGAAAGTGCTCTCCAGATGTCATGTCTGGAGCAACAGCCACACTGCTGGGAGCTGGGGATGGGCATTTTGGAATGTGAAAGATCTCCCTGGGAAAGTCTCCAGCTGCAGATGTTCTGATAGAAACAGGATGCTTTAGAGGCCTAAAAATGGTCCAGAAACTGGGGAAGAACTTTCGCCCAAGAGGACTGTGTTTGGCAATAATGACAATAAAAGCAAGAGTCTCTGGAGATGATCCTTCTCTGGACTCCTCCATAGAGTCATACAGTGCCTGGGCTACTCCATGATGAGATATCCCACACAATACAGAGACCACAACCAAATTCTCATGCAGACATAACTTGGAGTTCACGCAAGCACCATCTTCCCCCTCCGCCCCTATGCCCTGCATCTTTTTGTTCTTGTCTTAGGAGCAAGTGCTCTCCATATGTCATGTCTGGAGCAACAGCCACACTGCTGGGAGCTGGGGATGTGCATTTTGGAATGTGAAAGATCTCACTGGGAAAGTCTCCAGTTGCAGATGTTCTGATAGAAAAGAGGATGCTTTAGAGGCATAAAAACTGGGAAAGAACTTTCAACCAAGAGGAGTGTGTTTGGCAATAATGACAATAAAAGCAAGAGTCTCTGGAGATGATCCTTGTCTGCACTCCTCCATAGAGTCATACAGTGCCTGGGTTACTCCATGATGAGATATCCCACACAATACAAAGACCACAAGCAAATTCCCATGCAGACAAAACTTGGAGTTCACCAGCATATGCAGGAGAAGTGGATTTCTCTCCACTTCAAAAGAAGAGACAGAGAGTGCAGCAGACTTAATTCCTTGTTGGTGAAAGGGTACCAAATCAGATGAAGAGATTTCTAACAGCATAAAATGGGATAAAATCATAAAGCATTGCCTTCCATTCAATATGGGCTGCAACACTTGTGCTTGTGGCCCAGACTGATAGCTATGTGTGGCTAAAGGTCTCTTGTCAGAAGGCTTCCCCATCTTGTGTGAGTGTATCTGGTCACTGTGCTTCCACCTCTTTTCTGGAATGCACAGCTGGTGAACCTCACGGCTGTCCAATGTCCAGAGGATGCAGGAGCTGCTCAGCCAGCAGTGATGGTGCTATGGTGGCTCTTTTTGTAAAAGCTGGGTTGGGGTTTTTTTGCTGTTTTGCTTCTTACCTTCTTTATTTTAGGCCACCTGGCTGCTGGGACTTTCCTGGTGGTATTCTTCCACATGACAATGGTCATTTGGTCATCCCAGTCCTGAACCTTCTTTTTTGGCAGCTCAAAGTCGATCTTGGTCACCTTACATTTCACAAGGTGCCTCCTGAAGGTGACTGGGACATCTGACATCAAGGTCACTGTGATGTCCTTGGCACAGCCATGATGGAGGTGTCCCACCTAGGGAGAATCAGGGAGTCAAGACCAAACTGGAAGCACTGCCAAGGGCAGGACTGACAGCAAAAGGGACCGATGGGGTGAACACCTGTGCCAGGAATCTGCACCTCAGAGTGGATTTACATGAAGTTGGATAGACAAAAGTATGAACAGAAGCTGCCACCTCCCATGACATGAAGCCTTTTCTGCAAGGCTAGCAGCCTTGGCCCAGCCAAGCCAGGGACTGCATCTCCTACGTGGCACTGGAATGGGCTATCAGTGGCATCTGAGGGCTCCCTGCCAGCTCCTGGGCACACCAGGGCAGGGCTTGAGTGATGGGGAAAGGCAGAGGCAGTCCATGCTCACCTTGGGGGAGAACCGGAATGGGGCCTCTGCCTCCCACTCAAAGCGCATGACCATCTCGGCGTGGCTGGTGATGGTGAAGGTCCTGCAGTAGGGCTCCCCAACGTGACAGTCCCCAAACTGAATGTGATTCACTCTGACAGCTGTTAAGGAGGAGAGCAAGGGATCTCAGCATGCAGGGAGCTCCACCTGCCCCCCTCACATGCACAGACACCTGCATGTTCAATGCTTCCTGGCTCCAAGCCTTTCTCCCTCTGCCAGGGAGTTCCCCAGGCAGTTCCACCACTTCCAGGGAAACACCCTGACACATCCCTAAGCCAGTGATGTGCAGCACAGCACACACTGCTCTGCATGCATGGCTGCTACCCCCAAATGGCCACCAAGTCCCATGGGTGACAGCCCAGGACTGGCTAGAGGGAAGACATATATGATCAGATATTTTCCTCTTCCTTGCTCCACCTTGGCACTCTCTCCTCTTACCATCAATGATGTTTTCCTTCAGGCTGCCATCAGCATTCCTCTCCTCAGTGCCTTCCTCTAATCCATCGAGGGTGAATTCGTCCTCGTGGCCTTCACCCACCAGTTCAATTACGGTCTTGTTAGAGTAGGTGTCCCCCACTAACACACCAATCTGCCTTTCCACACGTTGAGCCAGGGTGGGTTTGAAAATGGCATCAAACTCTGCCGATTGCCCGCGATTCAGAAGGAAGAAAGGCTTTGTGGACTTGCTCTCTGCACAGCAATGGAAATCAGAGTTAAGTGCTGCAGCTGTACTGAGGAAATATTTCCATAGGATATATGAGGAATAAGAGGTTGAAACCAGCTGCCTTCTAAGCAGTGGTTCTACCCCCAGTTGTTGCAGACCCTCTTCCTATGTTCACAAGCCTGCCACCCCCAGACACAGCACCACTTAAGCAGCGTAACCTCAGCTTGATGCCCAGCCCTCATTCCATCTGCTTCCCATCAGCTCCAGCCATATGGAAAGCTGAGCCAAAGAGTGCTTTCAGCTTCTGCTGGCTGTCTGAGTGCTCAAGGGCTGTGTCTGCTCAGGCTGGTACCATGCCATGTGCAGCAAATACCTCAGAGGGTCCACTGAGGTAGTGACAATCCCCCACAACTCAACCCACCATGTCTAGCAGAACAGAAGAACTTCCTACAACTTCCTAGGAGGAAACCCTGCAAAAAGCCCCCAAGAAAAGGCTGGGAGACAGAGGGCCCAAGGGACAAAACTGTGCCTAACATGTGGCTGCTGCTCAGAGAAGCCAAGAGCAGGGCACACGTTTTCCCTCTGTGCATGATTGCACTTCATGGGTAATGAATTTACCGTTTCCAGCTGAATCCTGTTCCACATCTCCATTGTGGAACACCCTGACAGCAGAGGCCCTGCCTTTCAAGGAGAACATTCTGTGCTCATCCTCCAGGTGTAACATAAACTGAGAAAAGGGAACACAGAGCACAATGGTACCGGTGTGAGTACAGGATGGCACGAGGCCTGACACTGCAGTGCTGCTGGTCCCGCATGGGAGCCCAGCACCTCTCCCACTAGAAACAGCACTTAGCCCAAAAGTTAAGTCAAACCAGCTGGGAAAAAAAGGGTGCTCAGAGGCATCTGGAAAGAACTGACACAGAACCAAATGGGACAAAAAGTAGTTGGCAGGACGTAATGCAACCACAATTAAGTTTACTTAAAATGTACTAAAGTGGGCTGAAATACAATCTAATGGAACTGGGAAATCATACATGTCCATGAGAACAAAAGGTGACACAAGAGACAGGGGGGAAAATAATCCACCACCTTTCTGGTGTTCAACTTAAAGAAGAAAGACTGGACAGAAAATTTCCAAGAACTCCTTTCTTACAGAACAGACATCAGTCACTTGTTTCAAAAGAATTTCTGACACCTCCTCACAGGTTTGCCATGTTTTTTGGGACCCTTCCCTTCTGCCACAAGCACTTGCTCCCAAACCAGACCATCCCTTGAGCAGGTCCTCCTCACCTTGACAGGTATGATGCCATCGTTACGGATGACCAGGGGCAGCATCTCTGAATCCCCCAGCCGGAGCCTCTTGAAGCGCAGCACGGCGTTTCCCCTCTTGCTGCGAGCGCTTGGGCACACGACTGTCACCCGTGGCTCATGCCCCTTCCCGCTGATGGTGAAGGTCAGGCTTTGGGGTTTAATTCCCACAGAGCTGCAGGAGAGGCACGGAAACAATTTCAGCTGGCACTAACCCATTTCTCAGTGGGCAAGCAAAGCTGCAAGGGCCACCCACTGTCTTTTCCCTGGCTGCTGTTCCTGTACCCCACAACACAGCCCCCCACCAGCCTCTTCCCAATCCACTCAGGGCCATTCACAAGACAAATCTGCTCCAAAGAGCCAAAGCTTTCCACAATAACAGTTACAAATAACTTCACTTAATTGAGTCATGCAGTACAGCAGGGAAATAACACGGCACCAGATGAGATATGGCAAATCCCCATGCTGCAGTGAGATGAGACTTATACAACAAGAAAAAGCACAGCATGAAATCAGTCCAAAAGCAAGAAGGCAAAAAGAAATCATTGTTGTTCTCAAGAAAGATCTTTTCCAAGAACAGTAAAATTACAATCGCTTATTAGCAGTTAGTCTTCTCTTGGTTCAGCCACTAAAGGGTTGAGGAAGGGAAGCTCAAAGCCCCAGTCCACTGGTCCCAGGGCAGAGGAACTGGGCTCCTCTTTCATACCAGCTCCAATCACTCACATAAAAGAGCTTAATGTATGCCAGGGAGTCACGTCACAGAGGATCACCTAATTTTACAGAAACAAATGAGGAAAATGTGACTGCTGACTGCTGGCACAGAAACTGCTTAATCTAAGCCTTTGCCGTTGGAAACCCCCAGCTCAGCTGAAGCACATCTCAGTAACTTACAGCTGGTTACCTAGTATTTCCCTCTCTTCACAGTTCCTCACACAGGCTAAACCATCAGCCTCATGCTTCTGCTCTAAGAGTTCTTAGAGCCTCCCAGATCATCTCATGCCAAGTACTCTGCCTAAGGCTACTGAAAGCATTAGAGCTAACAAGAGGTCTGTGCCTTCCCAGTGGAGAGGCAGCTACCAGAGAGTATTTCACAGGCTCACTTACCTTTTTGGGATGACAAGGGAAGCCTTGAAAGTGCAGTTGTAGTTCTCCTCTGGTGGGGTGAAGGTCACCGTAGCAATGGCACAGGATGAGCCAGGAACAGACATCTTGACTGGATGTAACTGGAAAATGTTGTTGATAGGGCTTTTTGCCTTGGGGGAACCCAGAGAGCACTGTTAGGAGGAAACACCTTTCAACATGACGTAGTTTTATTCATAAATGCATTACTGAGAGCAGTCCCAGACAGTGTGTCTCCTTCCTGCTTCCCTGGGCAGGCTCCCTCCCTCCCGGGGAATGCTGACCTTGTGCTAAAGCAGTGTATGTTTTGAGGGCTGGCAGCTGCACCCACCTATATGGGAGGTGGGCACTGCACGGACAACCCTGCAAATAACCTAGAGCTGGCCTTCAAAGAGAAGGAAAAGCCAGGGAGCCTGAGGAAATGCTCTGCTTTGAGCCCTGGCATGTCAGTTCATAACAGCCCCTCTCTGCGTGTGCTTCCAAGAGAGGTTCAGAAGGATTCACTTCTCCCATCAAAGACCCAGCGGTTTGAGCCAAAGCCTTGCCCCAGACATGCAGAATTCAACACAACTGCTCCCTGGCTCTGCTGCTCTCCCCTGCAGTTTGACCTGCACTGAGCTAGCCTAGTTGGGGCCACAGGCAGCAATGCATCTGGAGAACAAAACAGGCTCTCACACGGCCCTTAGAGGGCAGCCACCACCTTGGCCTCCTGTTCTTACCTCTCCAGGCAGGGGTTCGATGGAGAGCACCACATCGCATGGCAGACAGCTTGCGTTGTAAATATTGAAATGAGCTTCAGCCTCTTGCCCAACCTGAGCCTTGCTGAAGATGAATCTGTTCTCATCTGTGACAAACAGGCTGGCGCATTCCACCGACTGCAGCTTGTGCTCGAGGTCGGTGCTGCTGCAGATCGGGTACTCCTCGAAGATTAATGTGACATCCTCAACGAGTGCTGTGGACACACCAGAGGGATGAGCAGGGAGAAGCCTCCCTGATGGATTTATCTGGACTCTGCTGGCCTCTCAGAAGGCTTGATAAGCCCTTTCTGCCCGGGTGACTGCTAAACCCAGTGTTGGGTAGGGGAGCTGGCTGGGAGGATCGAGCTCAGTCAGCCTCAGTCTTAGAGAGCATTGCTTTCCTTTTATCCTTCCTTCCATGCATCCCTCTCAGCCTGGGAGGGACGAGTCCGCTGCTGGACTCAAAGAGGGCTGGAGCTTCTGAGGATTTTAAGGTGGGACACCAGGCCTAGTGTGTCTCTCTATGCAAGCAGCAAGTTTAGGTGCTGATCAGCAGCAGGTGTGACCAAGGGCACGGTGGGCAGTATGTACCTGGGATGCAGGACTGGGCAATCAGGGTGAAGGGAATGCCAAGGGGATTGTCCTTGGGGTGTCTGCCTGTGATGTCAATACAGAGCTGCTCCTCACATGTCCCCTCCTGCCCTGCCAGGCATTTCACTGTGATCTTCTGCTGGCCCCACGGACTGATGGAGCCGGAGCAGGGGGACACCGTGAACATGCCAAGATTGAGGCGAGCCTGCAGAAACAGTTCCAGGAGAGGCTGATGGTTAATAAGTGTGCCTTGAGCACCCCAGAAAAGATTATGTCCTGCCTTGGCCTCCAGCTGGGCCCAAGCAGCCGGTTCCAGGGCGGGGAAGGATGACTCCATGGCCCAAAGGCAGCCCTAGGCTGAGAGCAACAAGCCAAGAGGAGCTGCAAGAATGTCCCAAGTAGCAGAGAGAAAGGAGTCTGAGTGTAAAGACTGAAGGTGGTAGCTGTGATCAGCCTCCAGAGGCAACACAGGAGAGCAGAAATAGCTGTGAGAAATGATGGGAGAGAGGTGCGGGACGGGGAAGAAGAAAAAGCAATGTTGTCTGAGCTCTGTGGACTGCGAGTTCACTGGGGGAGGTTTTTGCTTCTGTGGTGTTCACAGACCTATGCTGGCCAGCAGCTACCAAACAGGGGACCTGCTCCCCTCTGTTGAGCCCACAACTCCAAGTCAGAGCCAGAGTACAGGACTGCCAGGAGGACTGAGCAGATGCTGGACTCCATCCTGCAGACCACGTCCCACCCTATGGCAATGAGCCCCCAGCCCGACACAGCAGCATCTTCTCCCATCCCCTGCAGCAGCTCTGCTGGGGAGCAGGAGTCACCCACCTGTGTCAAGGAGCTTGATTTCCTTCTCGTGGAGTGCTTTGCAGCTTCCACTTGCTTTGAGCTGAGAGGAGAAAGCAGAGGTATCTGTCATGCTGAGCTCCCCTGCCCTCCTCTGAGGCCAAAGCTGGCCTTCCTCCTCAGAGGGAAAAGCCTTTGTGCTCCTGATGGCTCCCAGGGAGCAGCCTGCAGCACCCATTGCTGGACACAGCAGCTCTATCACCAGCTTCGCAGCACACATGGGGATACCGAGGTGGTTTTTTGCTCCCTCTCCCCAAGCCAAGGATGCAAATGGATGACAGCCCAGGTCTCCTGGCTGCCTGCCACATACCAGCCGTGGGGTGGTGCCTCCTGGGACAGGAAGGGTGGCGCAGGGCTTCTCCTACCTTTTGCTTCCCAGTGCCTCCTCGGGTGCTTGGCGGATGTGGAATTTGAAGCTGAGCAGCCCTTTGTTCTCCAGCATGACAGTCTGGGTCTTCTTGGTGCCCTTGACCATGGCTCCAAAGTTGACGGGTGAGGCAGGCTCAATGCTGTACTTGCTGTACTCAGCTATGGCAGACACCCTCACTGGGATGTTGAGGACAGCCTGGCCTCCTTCACCTGACCTGGCATCTATCACCTGTGCCCACAGGAAGGGGTGGTAAGCAAAGCAAAGAGGCCAGACTCTACCCCGGTGCCCAGCCTCCTCCCCAGGCCTCCATCAGTTTACTCCTCCTTATTTAAGCACCTCCTCCAGAGTCAGATTCTCAGCTCCACACAGGAAGCCTCCCAAATGCTTTTGAAAGACTTTGTTTGTGTGTGTCGGAGAGAGGATTCTCCAGTTAAAGCCCTCCTTCCATTAGACACCTATCCTGTTTACCCTCCCAAAACACCGTGTGATAACACAGCCTGGCCCGGGCAGCTCACCTGGCAGTACAGGATGGGTTTGTTCATGAGGAACATTTCTCTTGTGGGGTGGAAGAGCATCTCAACAGTCACACCAGGCTGGGAGGGAATCAGCACGCCTGACTGAGGCTTAACAGTGAAGTGGGATGCCACGTCTCGCGTCCTGCAACCTGCAGCCTCAAGTGTGAACCTGGAGAGAAAGGGAAGCAATGGAGATCTCTGCAGTTAAAAGCACAGGTGTCACCAGCACAGCCAGGAGTTTGCATAGGACCAGAACAGAAGAAAAGGGAGAGTCCAGCTCTGCTCAGGGAATCCTGGATCTTGACAGAGAGAGCAGACAATCACAAGGTTGCTGCAAGAAACCTTGATACTGAAAGTTTTCATTTACTCCTATAGTCTCAGAAAGAGAAAGGTGGTGACACCAAAGAAGGGCAATGAATCTCAGCATTTCAGTGGCTGAAATTTCTGGGGCTCTCCTTTGGGCTCCAGCTGAGCTGTGAAGAACTGCTGGTTTGTGGCTGGATTCTCTTGGGAATTGGAGATCATGGCTGCTCTTGACCCTCTTCTGTTTGCCACCTGAATTTTATCAGTACAACTGCACTTGCCTCTTTCAATCACTGCTACCAACTGTGCTTTTGTGATGGTGAACCCCGTGTTTTTGTCACAGGCATCATGATTAGCAGAGATTGAAATGCTCACAAGTCTTTAAGCACTAAGTCGAGGGGAATTAAAGCCTCACCGAGCACTCAAACACAGCCCTGTTGCTGGTGCTGTTGAAATAGAATCAACTTACAGAGACCATCACAGACATTGCCTCTGGAGTGGCAAATCAAATGAAAAAATCGACCAGGAGAAAGAAGAAACAGAACTTGACTGGCTTCATTGCTTCCTTGGAGCAGCAGAAAATGGAGATGCCCAGAGGTATTTCCAGCTGCTGCTGATCCCAGTTGGAGGCTAGCCCTCTGCAGAGTCCCAGCAGGAACTGAGCCCAGCCCAGGGAGTTCCCAGAGTGTCCTGGAGATTCTTTCTCTGCATTCAGTCAGGCTTGCATTCCCCAGCAAGTCCCCAACAAAACCTCCTGTTTTCTTGGGTTAGAACAGGCACCATGAAAAACTCCCCAATGGCATAACTCCCCAGCCCACAAGGAAAAGAAAAGACAAGTTGTCAAGTAATCCAAACATTTCTCTTGCTTTGCTGCATTCACGGTATGGAAAGCCAAGAGAAGGTGCAGTTGGAGGCACATCTTGTGACAGAAGCTCAACCTTGTTCTCCAGGAAAGGTTCTTGAAAAGAGGAGACAGGACTGTGGAGAAGATTCCTGGAAAAGTGAAACGGCTTTCCAGAAGTGAAATGAAAATGGAAAGGCACAATGTGAGATCTTTTCCTCTATTTATTTCTATGCTCCCCTTTTCTATGTTGCACTACTTCTCCATGCCATGAGTTCCAAATGCATCTCACCTCTCCGATGGATGGCTTAGCGAGTTTTAGACACTCTAAAATACCACAAGCTACACACAGTTTGCCTCGCCCTGGTTTTGCTGGAAAGCTATGCCAGAGCCATAAGTGCAGTGCTTGGGTCAGAAACAAATCCTGCAGGCAGGGAATGTGCCCTGCCAGTGTTGAGCCTCAGCAGGGACAATGCACAGCAGCGACCGAGGGTTTTTCCCGTGCCCCTGTGCAGGAGTCAGGACTCTGGATCTGGGCTCAACACAGCGAAGTTCCCATGTTTGGACAGACTCAGGGGCTGCCCCGGGGTGCGGGGCCAAGCGTGGAATGGACACACGGACAAATGGCCCCAGGTCTTGCAGCAGCGAGTCTACGGCCCTTGCCATGTCTCTCTTGTTCCTCCTCTCCCTCTGCCGATGTCCCGCACTCTGTCTCGGTGCCCCGCAGCCACTCCCGGTGTGCCTGCCCCGGCCCGTCCCTCTCCCCGTGCCGGGCAGGGCCATGTCCCCAGCCCATCCCCGGCCCCAGGCATCCCGCCGCGGTCTCGCCTCCCCCCGGCTCTCGCCATCCTGGCTGTGGCGCTGCTGGGGGGGCATCAGTGCCTGGGGCCGGGGCGGCATCGCCTCACTTCGGCTGTGCCTGACCCGAGCCCGGCCCCGGCCCCCATGTGGGCTCCAGTCCTGTTCCCGGCCCCAGCTCCTCCCGGGGCCAGCAGAGGACACACGCAGCGCGGCCGCTCCTGCCACCTCTGCTGCGGCTTCCCCGGGCCGAGCTCCGCCGTTCGGCAGCGTGGCTACCGGGCCCTGGGGTGGGTGGGGACGGCCAACCCGGGGTGGTCAGGGGCCGTTGCTGGCCCTGGGCCAAGTGCTGACAGCCCCATCCCGCCCGCAGGGAAGGCGCAGGAGGCCCTGCAGGAGCAGTAATGGCTGGGTTTGCTGCTGGGACCCAGCGGCTTTGGCAGCGTCTGCTCGGGAACGCGGCTCTTGGGCGGCGCCCCGGTGAGCGGAGGGGCCGGCGGCGGGCAGAGGAGGAGGAGGAGGAAAAGGCCGGGGTGCGGTGGGGCGGGCAGCGAGCTCAGCCTGCTGCTGCCCCTTGCTTGCAGGTGGCCATCAATGCATGCCGTGGGATGGCATCCGGCACTGGGG